TTACTGGGCTATTTACTTGCTTTAGATGTTTCTCGTGGCTCCAGCGCCACTGTGTATTCAAGCTAGGAACCGATGGCTGCCTCTACCCGCAGCCTGTGGTGTTTGCGGTGGGCTTGCTCCCCGAGAATCACGCTCTGATTTGCATGACTAACCGAGCGGTGGCTCCTGAGGAGCTGCCTGGGGCGTCGAGCACAGTGAATGGAGAGCTGCAGGTTTTCTGTGTTTTCCGTTGTAAGTGTTTTGTTCCACATACCTGTCAAAGGACATCCCAGGGCATTCTGGGAGAAGGAACGAGACTGCACTTCTAATAAAGGCTTCAAGAAAAATTTTAAGTGGTGCGTTTTAAAAATATCATATCTGCTGTCCTTGATAAAATGTGAAGAGAAGGGAATAAACCAGGACACGATTTCAGCTGCTGCTGAGCTGTGACTCATTTTCCCCTGGTTGGAGTTAAGGAGGCTCCATCACCAAAATCAGGGGGCCTGGAAAGGGACGAATTTTAAGTAAAATGGATGAAATTTAATCTCTAATCTTTGACAGAATTGCAAATACCACATTGATTTTTCCCCAGAAGAAAATCTGCACTCCAGAATTCTTTTCCTCTTCTAAATGAGTCAGAAATAGAACTTCAAGTAAAGTTAAAGTTCTGCCCTTTACCGGAGATGCTGTCCCTAAGTTGTAAATCGAATTCTAAGTGACAAAAAGTGACCTGCATATTTTGTCTTCATACCTATAATACAGATAATCAAATTATAATAGTTGTAGATTAACAAGTTTATTAGCTATCGTTTAAATGCTGAATATTTGGTATCAATATACATATAAGCAAAGAAAAATATTTCCTATGTTCATGATGTTGAAAAACAGCCAGTGTATGGGAGAGGTGTGTGTACTCAGAGTGTCTGGGGAATGAATACGTCCCTCTTTGACGTCCTGCTGTGCTGCTCAGATTCCAAAGAGCCGACCTGTGAAACAAAGGAAGAGAGAGCTGGGCTGGGGGCTGTGGTCTTGGGTCTACCAGCACAGGGGGTCTGCTGAGAGCCCCACAATTAGGCAGGATCTGCCCACACAGCACAGGCTGCAAGGGGCGGGCTCCCAACCCCAGAGATGCCTCAGAGAAAGTGCTCGCTGCAAGCGCCCAGGACAGGGGAGGATGGGCTGAGTCACACAAACTCAGTAAATACTTCAGTCCTCCTTCAGGGACGCACAGGGTGTGGGAGGTGGGAGGACAGAAGGGCATGTCCTTTGAGCTGCCTCCTGGACGGAAAAATCACCCCAGGACCAGGGAGAAGGCACCCCTCCCCAGCACGTATCCAAAGGCACAGATGAAAATTGTGCGGTAAATAGAGTGGACTTTCCTGTACATACGTTCTGACTTCTCTCTCTGATGGTGTCTTTGTGATAGATGCCTAGAAGTGAAGACTCTACACCGAGGCGGGTATGGTGATTTACCAGAATGTTAGTGGGGTTCAGAGTGCACGTCCCCTTCAATCACTTGTTCACAACTCTCGACTAAACACCAGGATGGCTGCAGGTGCCCAGGAGGCAGGGTGGTTGGTGAGGAGGCTGACACCAGCTTCTCCTCAAGCGTCAGCATGCTGGTGAGGCAGACGTTCAGATGTGACCACGTGGGCTGTCGGCAACAGCTTCTGGGAAAGGGTGGCCCTCAGCCTGAGTGTGAGGATGAGCTGCCCAAGCGGGGAGAGCAGAGGGCAGGGGAACCATCCCGCAGGGCGGACTCTGGGCACGTCCGGGAGCACTGAGGAGCCAGGCTTCAGGGCGGGAATTTCATCCTTTGTTCCACTTCACCTGTGGTTCATTTTGAAGAAGCTTCATCTCAGCATTGTTCTTCATTCCATTTGCCCAGGACATAGTCATTTTTTCTTCTTCTGATTCACATCTTTCTTTAGAGCAGGAATTTTTTTCTTTTTTGTCTTTCTTGATTTGTTCTTCTTTTTTGCTGAGGAAGATTTGTCCTGAGCTAACATCCATTGTCCATCTTCCTCTTTTTGCTGAGGAAGAGTCACCCTGAGCTAACACCTGTGCCAATCTTCCTCTGTTTTGTACGTGGGATGCCACCACAGCATGGCCACTGACGAGTGGTGTAGGTCTGCACCTGGAAACCAAACCGAGGCCACCGAGGCAGAGCACGCCACACCTAACCACTAGGCCACCCTTATCCTTATCTTTTCTTCAGAGAGATGATCTGCCTGATGACTCTGCATTCCAAGCCCTCCACATAAGCATGTCCCCCTCATCACCAAGTCTTTGTTCTTTATCCCTGCGTTTGGGAAGGTTCTTCAAGTATCTTCTAAACTGCTAAATCTATTTTCCTGCTCTGTTAGATCTACTATTTGCTGTTTCTAATATTGATTTTAAAGCTTGGTTGTATTTTAGATTTTTCACAATCTTTTCCTAATCCACCCTGCTCTTTAAAAACTTTCTGTCTCGATTTCAAGCTGCTGTTAACTCGACTCTATTTTATGGGCAGGATAGCACAGTGGTTAAGGGTCCGCATTGAGCATTCAGGCTGCGTGGGCCTCAGAGGGCTCCGCCACTCACTGACCACGGGTAATCTGTGTTTGCTGCCAGTCCGAGTCCTCATCTCTACAATGGGGACAGTAACATGCCCATCTTGTAGAGCTGCTGTGATGACCAAGAGTCAATCCATGCAGAACACTTAGAAGAGTAAGTAGTCAGTAACTTAGTTTCTAATTAACCTATATTCTATCCTTTCCTAAATTGCTCTGAATAATTATTTGGAATTTTGCCTGACTATTTTTGTGTGTATCCGTATGGGGGTGTGTGTTATTTTGTTTACTATCTTTTAAGGCAGCAAATTCTATTCTATCTTAGCTTTTCTTAATTCTTAATTCTTTCTGTAAATTCACTTCGTTGTCCTTAAATGTATCACTTCAGTTATCAAACTCATGGATTGATTGGTGTGTGTCCCCTTTGGTCAAATTTCTGGGTTTTTGCAGTATTTATTCAGTGTGGTCGACTCGAGGACAGAGTCTCTGATCATGGGATTTTAATATGGATGGAGCTTAAGGTTGGCCCATCTGAGGCCGTCTCTAATTCTTCCATTTCCAAGAATAGGGAATGACAAGTGACAAGCCCCAGCTGGCATGGCTTCCACGGCTCTGCCAGCTTCAGCTCCTGCCACTTCGTCCTTCACACAGTAGTTAGGCAGCATCGCTTCCACTATTTTACTCCCGGCTGCATCATACTGCCGGCGCTGTAGTCTTAGGGAGAGAGGAACTAACGGGGCATGAAATAATTTTGGCCGTTCTAAAAGTAGCACTCATGTGATGGATGAGCAGCTTCTCGCCTTCTTATTGAAGAATGTTCTGTGTCTCTGAGTCAGGTGTTGTAGTGGGTGAGGAGGAATGGAAACCCGCAGTCACATGTTTTGCATCTTTTAAAGATTTTATTTTTTTTTCCTTTTTCTCCCCAAAGCCCCCCGGTACATAGTTGTATATTCTTCGTTGTGGGTCCTTTCTAGTTGTGGCATGTGGGACGCTGCCTCAGCGTGGTTTGATGAGCAGTGCCATGTCTGTGCCCAGGATTTGAACCAACGAAACACTGGGCCGCCTGCAGCAGAGTGCGCGAACTTAACCACTCGGCCACCGGGCCAGCCCCATGTTTTGCATCTTTTTATCCTGAAGATAAGGTATAAGATAGTGGTTAGGAATTCATGATACAGACTCACATAGACCTGGCACAAATTCCGGCTGATAGCTTGGAAGCTTAGGTCAAATCAGTTAATCTTTTTGAGCTGGAGTTTCTTCATCCATAATAAATGGACATAATAAAAATGCCTGTCCCATATTCATGGGAACATTTAAGCTAGAGGGTGCTCAATAAATGGCAGCTCTTAGCCTGAAAACGTCTTTCTTCCACCAGCTCACAGCACACCTCCATCCTTCCTCTAGGGTGTGGGACTCTAGAAAGCTGAGAAATTGGGCTCTAGAAAGCTGAGAAATTGGTGAGAGGTGCCTACAGGGTAGTCAGTGGTAGGATGGCAAAGAAGGTGGTGGAGGTTAAGGGCTGATGCAGATGGTCACCTAGACTGGGGAGTGGGGCACATGAATCACTCAGCAAACAAAATTCTCCAAATTCCAGAAATGACTGAAGACCCTGCAAGACAAGTTACCCCCAGAACGCAGATTTGGTGGGTCCTCTCTTTTGACCGTTGCTCTGGCCTGGACACAAGCCTGCTCTTGGCAATCCACATTTCCATTACTCCTGGCACTTTCTGGACTGAGACATCTCCCTGGATGAAGGGACCCAAGGGGTTCAGGCTGCCACCTCCTTATGACCCCAGACCTGGAGACCTTTCCCTCTTCTTTGTTTTGGATCTCTTTGCTGATCCTTGGGGTCCTCAGGCATGAAGGGCTTGTCCTCCAACACCTTCCCCCCTTTTTAAAGCCAGAACTTGATTGTCTCTGGTGGTGCCCACACCTGTAACATCTCAAATTTAACTTAATTGCCTACAGTGGAGGCCTCTTCTTGTACAGGATCTTACTTGCCTTTTTAAATAAGTCTTTTCACTTCCCCCAGTGCTTATCACATGTCATAAGAGAATCAACATCCCCAAAACAATTCTACTATTTCTCTCCCTAAAATAGAGACGGAAGGTGGGAATTCATGTCAAAAAGGGCAGTTGGTTATATTTATGCAGTAACTGTGTCCTTTATCTGGCCAGTCTGGCGCAGAGCTCCATCTGAACTTTGGTTGGAAATCCCCAGGGATTCTGGCAGAGCGTCCTCTGGGTTAGAGTTTCTGCTGCTGTTGAAATGTTTTATTTCTTTGTGTTTTCATGTGGACACATGGAGAATCATGAGCTTTCCAATATCTTGTCTCAGATTCCCTCATTCATATTTATGGAATGGATGCTTTTCAGTCTTTGAATATAAAGAAGGTCAATTTACGTAAATTTTTATAAACATCTTGCAGACTAATCTAATAATTCTTTGTAATGTTACTTTCTCTTTCAGCTGAATTTTATTCTGTTTCTGAATACAGTTAGAGTTCTGGCCACCAAAATCTGGGAGACCAATGCCGTCGGGCATGACACGAGAAAGCAGTACAGGTAATCCCTCACGGGCATCCGTCAGAGGAAATATTCTGGCTACCGTTTAGAGCAAACAGATATTGATTGGTCTGAAACATCTCTCAGAGATAAATTTATGAATGTGTATTTTTTTTTGGTTCAGTTGTGTGATTTGCTAGAAAAGTATATATATTTTAGGAAAATATAAATAACCCAAAGTCTTCCCAATATACTTAAATTCTATTTTTTTATCTGTTCTTAGTATATTGGGATTTTCCCGTAAACTATGTGACCTCCCAGAAAATCTCTTGTTGATGATCTTGGCAGATGATTTTATCTGTGTTCTTAAAATATGTCATAACTGAAAAAATGAAGTAAGAGGATTTGCTGTGTTTCCAATATTTCCATCAAACTGGCACTTACCAAATATACATTTTTAAGAACTTTCCAATGTGCTGCTTGAGGAAGGGCCATTGTTCAGTCTTCCCTGAAGAAAAGGGCAAATTGAGTGTTTATGATCATTGTCAGATTATCTTAAGAGTGTGTCCATTTCTCCCAATAATTATTTTAGAAATTTTGAATAACAGGGCCTCTGTCCAATGGACACATACATCCCGTGATCAGGCAGAGGTGGATTAGTCTGTAATCCCTGAAAGGTAACTATTTCTTTCTTCCCTGGCTCGCAATGAAATGCTGTCTCGGACACAGGAAGGGAGAAATCGTGGTCAGTGTTTCGGTCTCTCTCTCACGCGTTTTCTCTACATGCTTTGCTGAATCATTCCCTCCGCCGTTTAGGCAGCATTTATTGTTGGGCAGGAAAGACTGCAGGTGTGGACTGGAGTCTAGAGCGGGCTGCACGGTGTGAACACCAGCAGCTGCCGGTTCCGGTTACTTTCAGTGTCTTTAGGAGGTGTTATTCTCATATGAACCATGCACAGGAGCTTACAGCAAAGGGCCCGTGCTGCCCCGTACAGCTTGTCTCGTGTCCTGTCCCTGGTGAAGACAAAGGCCAAAGGATGGAAGAACAGTGGAAAAGGTCAATAGCCTTTCATCTTCATAAGGAGAAAAAGTGCAGTGGTGTTCGAAAGCTGCTTCTCTCTCTAGTTCTGACTAAAAGCGAATTATTTCTACAGTTCTGAGTGACGTCCACTTGCACTTTCAGTAAAAAGTTGCCCAAGAGATTTGAGAAACTCTGGAGAGAACAAAGGGTGGATTATCTTAAAAAATAGAATAGACAGTATTTTGAGTTCATTCATGGGGGATTATTTCTCAGAATAATTGAAGAGAACCATTTATCCAGGATTGAAATCGTTGCTATTCAGAATTCAGAATAAATTTTAAATAATCTGGTACCCAAGAGTTTTTTAAGTTTAAAGTGATTAATTGGAACAGGGTCTAGACTAATCATACTCAGGGGAAGTATTTTCAGCCAAATACATTTTTTGTGTAGCTGGAACATATTTAATATTTTTAATAACACCCACAGTGAAGCTACAGATAAAAATGTGGTAGAAAATGACTCAGTATTTCTTTTTAGAGAGAAAAATGGGGAACCCACTTGGTGGTGATTTTGGGAATTCAGTTCAGTGTTCAGTTTCTGAGGCCTTAGATTATTAAGCTTAAATAGCCTCTCACTTTTTAAATAAAGAGACTTAGAAGAATGTAATCTGTGTCTCTGACCCAGTGATGTTTCTCTCTTAGGCTTAATTGAGTATTTAAATTTACACCCACTTATTTTTGTACCTAAACTTGTATTTCATTTGGTTGTTACCTTTGTCAAACAAATGTCCAAATATTCTTGCTAAAATAAAACAATGAAAAAATAGATATATTTCCAAATGGTGGCATCTCAAACAGGGTTTGAACACCTTTCTGTGCATCCCGCTCTCTGAGAGACTGAACACGCATCTCAGGGCTGAGGTAACCTCCCCGGGAGAGCGTGTGCACACACAGAAAGACTTCTAAATGTGCACAATAGCCTCAGTTGATAAAGTGGTTTAAAATTGAAATAAACTAACACAATCAGTGAATGAAACACACTTAAGATAGAACTTTCAAATCGAGCAGATGGTGGTAACTCAAGGTCTCATGTTGAAGACTGCGAACAGCGTGGAGAAAGTGCAGAGGCTCCCAGGTAAACCGCGGGCATGAGGCGGTGCAGATGGCCCTGAGCAGGAGGAGCAGCGGCCTGGGCACTAGCGGAAGCTGAAAGAGGCAGAGGGATGAGGGGGGCGGACGAGCAGCTCCCGATCCTGCGTTTCAACATGATTCCGTGGGGCGCCCCGCTCCTGGAGGAGCTGAAAGGGGGTTATGACAGGGCAGTGGGCGTATGTGGAAAAAATCCCGGCAAAGCCTCAGATCGTCACAGCTCCCATGGACCTCTGAGCTCCATGCCCTCACTTCAGAGATAAGAAAAGGAATCAAGATCGCACAGGTAGAACCTGAATCCTGTTCTCTTTAGTCTGAGTCCAGTCTGACCTCTACTCACCTACACAGCCTATTTCTAAGAAGAAAAGTAAGTCTGTAAATAAATAAAAATAGCTGGAGGAAAGAGGGTTACAATTGTTTGAGGTTACCAGGACATAAATGATTTGTAGAGCAAGAGGAATATTTGAGAAATAAGAAAGAAGAAGCCATATTTGGCCTTTCTTGGATAAGAAGTACAAAAAACAAAACAGAAAGTGATGTGCTTGGGTGTACCAGCTGTCTATTGCTGCAAAATGAATTACTACAAACTTAGTGGCTGAAAACAGCACACTTGCTATTTCACAATTTCTGCAGGTCAGGAACCTGGGCCCAGCCTTGTGGGTCCTCAGCTTCAGGGTCTCTCATCAGGCTGCAGCTGAGATTCTGTCAGGGCTGCTGTCTCATCCTAAGGTTGGACTGGGGAAGAATCCAGGTCTGAGCTCACGAGATCATTGACAGGATTCAGCTTCTTGCTGGCTGTTGGCCAGACATCCCTCTCCTTGACACCTGGGCCTCTTGGTAGGGCAGCTCACAAAATGGCACCTTGCCTCATTGAGCCAAACAAGGGAGAAACTGCTGGTAAGAGGAAAGTTACAGTCTTATGAAACAGTCAGAGTGACATCCCATCATCTTGGCTGTAATTTGTTGGCTTGAAGCAAGTCCCAGGTCTTGCCTCACTCAGGGGACAGAATTAACAAGAACATAAGTACCAAGAGGTGGGGTCACTGGGGGCTTGGTTGAGTCAACCTATCTATTGGAAAACCTGCGATTCCTCCAAATACACAAGAAAATGCATGTGAAGAGGCAGTTAAGGGAAATAAAGCCAAATTGCTTAGCTTGCAAAAAAGCCCACACAAAACCTAAAGCTACAGACAATTTGAGATAGAATGTTTGACAGAGACGATTTAGAGAAGGCCAGGGGCACTGGCCACATGTAGCTCTTAAAGTATAAAATGATAGATGGAGACCCAGATATAAGGGACAGGGAGGGAGTAGTTGACAGGCCAGAAACCTGCGTGTGCGGGTCAAGGCAGTTGACGTGGGTGGAGGTGATGCTCTTCAAGCCCCAAATGTGGGTGCCAAGGAAGACTTAAGACAGAAAAAAAAGGCATTTCCCAACTTTATGAAATGGTATCCTTTAAGCAAAAAGAGTAGAAATCAGATTAGAGAGTCTTAGGGGTGGGAAGTGAGAAGAAACAACTGGATTTAGTGTTAAAGTGACGGGAAGCCGAGGGAGGAAGAACAGCAGGTGATGGCGGGATCCAGGGGGACGGGGTACGCCGGCCCTGGGGGTCTGCTGAGCTCGCTTCCTTCCAGCCGCCTCTTCTGAAAGGCCCTCTGAGTTGACTGACAGCACTCGCCATCCTCTTCCAGGAAACTCGCCAAGTCGACGCTGGTCCTGGTGCTGGTCTTCGGGGTACACTACATCGTGTTTGTGTGCCTGCCCCACTCCTTCGCAGGGCGCGGCTGGGAGGTGCGGATGCACTGTGAGCTCTTCTTCAACTCCTTTCAGGTAGAGGGCACCTTTTCCCATGTGGCTGTTTGTTTGTGTTTTATCCATCTGTCTTTCTTCTGAAGGTCAGCCCCAGGGGTGCGGGAACCTCGTCTGCCTCGTCTTTTCTTGTGTCGTTTATCCCTGTCATGCTGAGCAGCTAGCACTGTGATCGCTCAATAAATATTTTTGAATGAATGGAAAAAGTTTCTCTGTATTTTTACCATATAATACTCTATGTCTATAGTTTCTGGCATTTCACAGTGGATAAATGTCTGTTACCAACTAGGAAATATTCCATGATTCTTCAGTGGCAACATAAATGAGACCAATAGAATAGAAATCTGTGAATCTTGCAGCGTTTTATTCAGTTACTTGTTTGGTCCAGCTGACACCAAGAAAAGACCTCAAATCTTTCAACTTAAGAATTTGAGAACATTAGAAGAGAATAATTTGCATAATTTTCTCAAGGGATTTTTTTTTTAAAAGATTTTATTTTTTCCTTTTTCTCCCCAAAGCTCCCCAGTACATAGTTGTATATTCTTCGTTGTGGGTCCCTCTAGTTGTGGCCTTTGGGACGCTGCCTCAGCGTGGTTTGATGAGCAGTGCCGACCGCACCCAGGATTCGAACCAACGAAACACTGGGCCTCCTGCAGCGGAATGCTCGAACTTAACCACTTGGCCATGGGGCCAGCCCCTCAAGGAATTTTTTTAAAAACCCAGTTTTTCAATTTGTGCATCACTGACCCCAGACATGTTTGTGGGGGCATCTTCATGAACTGTCAGCGTGCTAACACCTCTTTTGTTCTCCAGGGCTTCTTTGTGTCCATCATCTACTGCTACTGCAATGGAGAGGTAGGTTTGAAGGCACCTGGACAGCCCCCAAGTCCAGCTCCGAGGAAGCTTCTAAATGGTCATCACCATGTGACCTGAATCTCTTCAGGATCCCCAGCAGTCAGAGGGCAGGATGGGCAGGGAGAAGGGAGGTATTTCAATCATAAGTTATTTTGAGAAGCAATAATTAATGTGCATAAGCTCAGGTCTTCCTCTTCCAGCACTTTTAAATGTCAATTCAGTTGCAAACCTTAATACCAGAAAACAACTTGTTGGGACGCAAATTGATGCTTGGAAGGACAGTGAATTTCATATTCCAGTTGGTGCTTAAACTTATATTGGATTTCAAGTTCTATAAGAGACTCAAATACAGGCTTCCCTGGGACAAATCCTTTAGAACGTTTTGACATTTTTTAAACTACAGGATGGTGACGGGACAATTTCAGTTAATTTAGGAGTTGGCTCGGGAGAAGTAACCTACTGTTCTGTTAAGTGACATCAGCTTACCAGGGACCTGTCCTGGAACTTCCAGATAAGCTGTCTTCTGGAAGGTGCAATAGCAGTAGAATCGAATGGTCCCAAGAATGGAGATGAGCCCCACACTCTCAAGGACACAGCTGCAGTGCCTGCTTTTCAGTGTGCAATCTTCCCATCGTCTCCTTCGGTACACTCTGCAGAGTGACGGTGCCAGTACCTTTCCAGTGAACACCGTCCACTCCATTCCTCAGCCATGGCTGGCACATTTATCTCTCTTTCTCCTCTAACCCAGAGTCAAGCCAGACATTTCTATTGGCTGCATTTCACCTTCCATCAAAATTCTAATCTCAGACAAGTCCTTTTCCCTCTCTCTAAGCCTCAGGTTGCTCATCTCCAGTGATAACACCTATCTCAATGACTTTTTGAGGTTGAGGGAGAATACATATGTCAAATCCCCAGCACACAGAGGAACCTCAGTTATTATTACCGTCACTGGAGGGCAGACACCCGCCACACAAGGCTGCAGGGTCTCCCTAGTGGTTTCTGATGCACAATGTGGTTCTTGCGGTTTAGGTTCAGTCCGAGGTGAAGAAGTTGTGGAGTCGGTGGAATCTCTCTCTGGCCTGGAAAAGGACGCCTGCCTGCAGCGGCCACAGGTGCGGCTCCCTGCTAACCACCGTGACTCCCAGCACCAGCAGCCAGTCGCAGATGGGGGCCAGCGCCCGCATGGTGCTCCTCTCGGGCAGAGTGACCAAGGCGGTCTGTACACAGCCTGACAGCCACGTGACTTTGCCCGGGTATGTCTGGAGTGGCTCGGAGCAGGACTGCCTGCCACACTCGATCCAAGAGGAGACCGTGGAAGGCAATGGGAGGTGGACGGGTGAGACCACGAGGGAGGAGCCTTCCAGGCCACTGGAGTTTAGCCCAGACACTGGAGGCAGCAAAGGAGAAACAGAGGAAGTTCTGTAATCAGCACCTGCGGCTTTAAAACGCTGGTCCACCTGGCTGTGAGAGGAGCTTGGTGGCATTCCTCTGCTCCGTCCCCGGAGCTGGACATTCAGGGGTGAAGAGTTCCTTCACAGCGGCGTCAGGCCCCATGAACTGGCTCCTATAAATACTAAAGGCACAGAAGGAGAAGTGTCAGTGGAGTAGTTTATTACCTTATTTTGGCATCACATTCTCTTCTAAATTGATGTGTGGGACCTGCTCTGTGAGTGTTCATTTTTCTGCTACTTTTGGGTAGAAAACATTTCAATTGCTTGCCTCTAGTTTTCTCTCATAAATATCTAAGTATGATGGATTTCACTTAGTATGTGTTTATTTTACTTCTAAGAAATTAGGATTCTCTTTTTCTCTTTCTCACCTGAATGCCCCATTTTGCCTGTTCATAGGAGCAGTTGGGTCTGAAAATGTACTTTGAAGGATTAAAGATCTAAGAGCAAGTACTCACTGGAAAATAAGTTGGCTGGACTTTGATAAAATAGCAAACTTGTGACAAACTCGTTTCTTTCTAGGAACAAGGAAAAGTACTCAAACAAGAATATTGCACATATTCCTCGTCTTGAATGTCCCTCTGTGACCAGCAAATCTCAGGTCTTCACTCCTTTGTAAACCTTGACTCGTCACAAAGTTTGCTCGGTCAGTGAGCTCGTGTCTGTGAACTGATTCTGTTTGCAATCATTTGTATCGACTGTAAATCACACTGCACTTACGCCTTTTCTTCTTTGAGTTATTACTGTATTCCAAATGGCATGTGGGGTAAATTAAAAAGCTTGTTTTAAAAATACATTTTGGGTCACTTTTAAAGTTTTCTCTCAGCATCTCACTCTGTTTTTGAGACCCACCCAAATGTCCCTTATCCAGATCTACGAGATCAGCATGCCACTCCAGTGCTCACTGAACTTGAAGCTTCAGCACGTGGCAGCACTGAAACATTTGTTGAGCGCACGTGAGGTTCCTGGCATCCCGCTCAGTTTTTACGAGCATTAACTCCTTTAATCCTCACTACAGACTTATGCAGTGAGTCTTATTACCGTTGTCCTTTTCACAGATGACAGTGTGACTCACAGAGGTGGAGTAACTTGCAAGGTCGCACTGGTCACTGACAGTGTGGCTCCAGACACAGACTGACTGCCTTCCAGCCCCGTGCTCTCACCATGCTGCCATACTGTCACCCGTGTATGTGTCACCCATCGAGCAGTCACAGTGTTTGGTGAATTCCTTCTGGGTGGAGAGTGCTTCAGGAGCTCTTACTGTCACGTGGTTTAGCCTCTGCCCCCATGAAGTTTCCTCTCTTGTGGGAAGGAAGACAGATACACACATGGTGTGAACATGTCACAGGGCAGCGTGCTTCAGGTGACACGGCACAGGTCCGGCTGATCTGTCCCATTTTGCGAGTGACTTAACCAACGTGCCAATAGTGTGATGAGTAAGGTACTCTGAGGTCTACACACCAGCTTTCCTCCCATGCTCACGCTTTCCTTCCTCCTCTGTGCCAGACAACACAGTGTCCTTTCCTTCCCGTCCTGTTTGTGAAGGTGCCGTTTTGTGTGTTTAATTCATCCGACTCAGTGCTATGTTGCCACGTCCCCCTGTTACGAGAGAGAGAACCATCACAGGCTGAGCCAGAGATTGAGTTCTGTTCCGATGCTAATTTTCTGTAAGTCTTTATAAAACCACTTAGTTTCTTTGTAGTTCAAGTTCCCCATCTTTAATATGAAGGTAGTATCTGTCTCCTTAGAGAACGTTCTGATGATAAGGAGAAATCACCTGCTGGAAGCCTCTTGTAACACAAAAATTCCACACAAGCACTTGGTTTAGGTTGTTGCTACGCTACGGTTTTAAGCTAAACCTCGTTTTGCCCCGTTATATTATAAAAGGCCCCACTGGTCATTGCAACATAATTGTTAGAATATGTATATTTTGAGAATATAGACAATATTAAGGGTTCTTACTTTCTAGGCCAACCCCAAATCCTGAGGCCAGGCCACTAGTCCTTCCCATTGACAAGGATAGAGGAAGCCCCCAGGGGCACCGAGGCTTTCCTTAAAGTCTGGTCCTTCCTTAGCTGAACAGGCAGGGACTTAGAGACCGCTGTGACAGATGCCTGCTGTGTGCGGGGCCAGAACACAGAAGGGCTATCTATTGCCCCAGAACAAAGAGCGCTCGGCTGCCAGGGCTCTTTATCCCACCTGTGAACACACATTTTTTTCTCCCAGGTTTTGATATTGTTTGCATCCAGTCAGACGGCTGGGGCTGTAAATTACACCCATCTATTGATTTTATCAAGTAAAATATTGAGCAGTTATCAAAGCTCAGCTGATCTGGATCCCAAGGAGCAAACCCTGGCTGACGAGCTAAGCCTGTCCCATAGCTGTGCTTTATGCTCTGTCAAGGGGTTGTGGTGTATTACTTGGTTACCATCACTGAAAATTTGAGGGATTTCACTTAAAAATTATACTTTAAAAATTATCAAAATATCAGAGGACCTTAGAACCAACAGTCAGCTGCTGAAACTCAGTGGTGGCTGGTCCTTCAGATGCCAGCGGGGGCCTGGTCCGCCCAGTGCCCTCCTCCTGTTATTTCTGTTAGTGGCCTGGGCTCCGGGCACACTTGACCTACATCAGGGGGTCAGGACAAGGCACTCACATAGACCTTTAACAAGAGTGTTCTAAAATATTCTTGGGGCGTGACATTCTATATAATTTTAATTTTTCGGATGAAGTAAGCACCCAACTATTTATATAGGTAGTGGTATTTAATTTAAGGTTGGAATAATGGCTATTTTTCTGTTTAGGTGAGCCTATTAAGAGAAAAATTCATCCCACAATTTCTGAGCTTTTGGATCCCAACCACACTATTCAAAGCTTCACTAAGACATTGCTCCAAGGCCCTCATTGCTAATGCAACAGATACTGTTCCCCTTGGAAATACAGGAGGTTCTACATGCAAGAGGATGAAGTGGTATGATAGGTTACAGGAGTGTGTGAAGACAGCCTTACATGGCTTGTTGACATGAACATTAGTTTTGATGCCCTACTCTTCCTGTAGCCAAAGGAAAGCCTGACCTCAGAGATAATCAATGTTCGCTGCCCAGTGCAAACAGGAATGATTTCGCTTGCATAAGTCTCACTGTCATAGCATCGCCTCTTTCTGCTCTTGTTAAGTAAGGTGGGAACGTCTTTGCTTTGCAGGTTCTAAAGCTGTCAGAGTAACTGCTGTTTTTTGAATCTTTGGGAGAAAATGAATAAGGTCTGTGCCAGTTGCAGTATATTATTTACACCAGGGATTAATGTTATGTCATTCAGAAGTGATCTCCCTTGGAGATTATGGCAGGCAGAATGATGCCCCCCAAAAAGATATCTGCATGCTACATCTGAGAACCTGTAACTAAATTAGGTTACTTGGCAAAGAGGAATCAAGGTTGTAGATGGAATTAAGTATGCTAATCAGGTGACTTTAAAATGGGGAGATTTTCCTGGATTATTTGGGTGGGCCCCGTGTAGTGACAAAGGTCCTTAAAAGTGGAGGAGGGGGCTGGCCCTGTGGCCGAGTGGTTAAAGTTCCACGTGCTCTACTTTGGTGGTCCAGGTTCGTGGGTTCGGATCCCAGGCGTGGACCACAGACAAAGTGGAGGAAGACTGGCACAGATGTTAGCTCAGGGCTAATCTTCCTCAAGCAAAAAAAAAAGTGCAGGAGGGAGGCAGGAGAAGGAGTCAGAGAGATGTGATGTAGGAAGGACATGACATTGCCCCTTGTTGTGGGCTTGGAAGGTGGAGGAAGGGGCCATAGATTAGGCTGTGTGGGCTGCTTCTAGGATCTGGAAAAGAAATGAATTCTCCCCCGGAGCCTCTACGAAGGAACTCAGCCCTTTGACACCTTGATCTCAGCCCAGCAAGACCCTTGCTGGACCTCCGACCTTCAGCACTGTGAGATGATGCATTTGTGCTGTTTAAGCTGCACCTGTGGCAGTCTGTTACCGCGTTCACAGAAACCTCTTACAGACTTATCCAGATGCCCCCGGGCAAGGAATTGCTGTGGCCGTCAGAGCTGGGTTGCTGCTTGTCTGCTTGCTTTGTGGAGGTCAGTTACTTTGCCAGTGTTTGTGGTATTCTATGCGCTGCGTTTACAAGGAGCAAAGTTGTCTAGTTTGCCATTTAACTATAACTGATTTTCTTACCAGTAATTGTTTCATTTTAGAAACGTAAATATTCATATGTTTGAGTTTATTCAAAATCTGTGGAGGGCATTCTCATCGATTCTAAGGAGTTGTTAAATGTCTTGTTTTATGAGTTGGATTCAATCTTCTTCTCTCCTTGGCCTGCTCTGCTTAGTCCTCCACTCTCGGACCCTCTCCCTGAGACAAGGGAGTCAATGGCTCAGCCAAGCGGTCTCCTGCTTGTCCTGGAAGTTCTAGGCTGAGAAGATGGCCTCCCTGTGGGTGGTTTAGGAGGAACAGAGACACCCGCTCTGTTTCAGGAGCTGAGCTCAGTGTTCTCAGTATATTTTCTAATATGATCTTCGTAACGCACAATGAGGTAGTCATCACTGCTTCAAAATGTAGAGATAACCAGAAGTTAGATGATTTGCTCCAGATCGAAGTGGCTAAGTCAGGATTTGAACCCAGTTCAGCTTGACTCTAAAGCCCTGATGGTTCTCTCCCCTGTCGCCCTGACCCCTTTCTTTATCAAGAGCCTAATAGTTTGCCAAGTCAACAAGGGAATAAATAAGAATAGTTTCAACTATTTTGATGGTAGAATTATAAATAATTATAGGAATGTAAAAAACAATAACACGATTAGAGTTTTAAATAAAAGCATTTTTATCTTCCAGTATTTCATGACTATCAGAATAAACAATAACTTTTGAATCTAAATCCTTCTTTTACTTCCACCCAGAATATCTAACTAGAGATATAAAGACCTAAATCCTGTTCTTAAGCTGCCTCATGAGACCATGGAAAATTTGCCCACGTATTGTTGCAGAAATGACTTTGAATAACTTTATCTTTATATTATTCATCTCTATGGCCTTTAAAGAAGATTTTATGTAGCTTTCCACTTATTCACTATAGCAAAAACACTCAGATCAGTGGAAGTAGCTATAAATGGTGCAGAGCCAGGAAAAATGGCAAACATTGTTCTTTCTCCCTGGCTCTTAATTTAACGCTGTGAGTATTTAAATTCAGCTGCTACTCAGACCCCCTAATCTCTTCCAAATCTACATTTCACTTTGGGAGCTTATGAGCTCACTTGATTAATGACTTAAATGGCTAAATAGGAAAACAACTTTAGTACATGAAGCTGTGAGTTTGTGTGACATTTTTCACATCTCTAGGACATAGTTCAGATTCGTGCTGACCAAAGACATTTCAAGTCTGCCAACTTTGACCTCCACAGAGTGTGGCAACGAGTGCCTGAGAAAAGTGCCGACCTTGCAGGCAACAAGGTGGGCAGGGCACCCCCAGTCCATCTTCACTGAGGGCGCGGGAGGCTCCCGGCTTCACTCCAGTTGGCAATCAGAGCATTTAGGGTGTTTAAAGCTACTGTGACTTGGAGAGAAAGCCTCACGAAATCATAAGAACTCTTTATAATATGCACACGCACTAAAAACGACAGTGTGAATTAATCTTGCCAGCTCTTGTTTTGGGGTCCAACCATGGGCAGGATAAACCAAGAAGGTTTCTGCAGCCTTTTTTTAAACACAAAGAAAATGACTCCTTAAAAATAGGACTGCTTAAGCAAGCGCTATTTCCCGTAAAAATCTTGTTTCACACCAGTTCAATCTTG